TTTTGGTCTTTCCCCTTATCGCTCCTCATTCTCAGGCTCGGGACCTCTGCCGGGAGTTACCCCTCTAGGTGGTTCATCTAACCCGATAGACATTGGGGAGATTCCTGAGACTAGCAGCTTTCCGGCCCCAATTCCTCCTTTGGCTTTTGGCAAGTTGTCATTTCTCCATTATTGGGTAGCTCCTGAGTTTGCTTCAGGTCTGCAACTTATGCATCCGAGTTACCCGGAGACCTTCGCTTCATTTGCTTGCCAATGTCCACTCATTCCGACTGCTCTTCTCGAGTCTTTTGCCACTATCTTATACAGCTTGGACAAGCAACAGCTGCGTGACCTTAATGGAAAAGTGATTGAGATAGCGTATCAGGGGATCTCTGACATGGAGCATCACCAAATGGACTTATCATGGCTTCGGAAGCGCCTGGATATAGCTTCTAACGCCAGTTATCGAGTGGAACTTTTGTCTGTGCTTGCCTCTTATCGGACCTCTATAGATGAGACAAAGGCAACTCTTCGCGAACTTAAGTCAGGCTATGCTCGAGCCTTGGAGACTTTAGAGGCACACTCTGCTATTTGTCCCCCGGATGTAGATGTGACGGGCAGCTTCTTCGAGGGTGTCTTTAGGAGAGATTGAGTTTTTTTTTTGGTATTACTTTCTTGCCCCTTTCGATAAAAATGTTTTATCTAGGACAATGCAATGAAATGACAAAATCTTTGCTGTTTGGATATTTTCACATTGTTTTCTTATTCTACTTGATAAAATATTTAGTTCGAATGATACAATGGAAAGAACAATCATACGCACATGTTTATAAAAGCTGAAATATTCTCATTAATTCTTTAACTTTCTTGACAAAAGTATAATAGATTCACTGCAAGTGATGGGATAAAACATGCACCATAGAGAAAACCAGCTTCTTCATAACGTAAGGGAAATACAACTTTTACACAAAGTAAGAAAATGAAAATGAATTTCAACATAGATGAGTCTAACTATGGGTAGTAATGCTTGATAAACTTTGCATTGAGCGGGCCAGTTCGGAAGCCGCAAAACACATCACAAACATCATAACTTACACGACTAACAACGACAACATTTTTACGAAAAATACTTCCTACCCCCAGCTGGGGGTGACACCCAGTGAGGTGTCAACTGGGGGTTGGAAGGAAAAAAACAATTTTTTTTTTTTTTTTTTTTTTTTTTTCGGCCGAGGAGGACCAGTCGAGTAAGGACGGACCGTGCCTCCTATACTGCATGGATCCGCCACTTCTTCAAGGATCTTCAGCCCTTGGCTAGAGATGCTGACCCCGATTCTCAGGAGTATGAGGCCGGCCCGATGTATGGCTCTTGGCTTTATTTCCTGGGATTTCTGGCTTGCTTCCTTCATTCTTCATTCTTCCGAGCACACCTCAGGATTCTCTCAATCCCTTTGTCTTCCCCTTGGCAGTTAGGCTCTTCAGAGGGGATCGGATTCCTTTGGCTCCGCTATTTCTTGGAATCTCTATTACCGGCTGGATCTACTACATCGAGAAATGGTTCGTTCCGTGGGTCGATATGAGCATGTCTTCTTTATTCAGAGCCAGTTCCTGCTTTGTTTTTTCTTTGAGAGGTTCCCCAAGTTTGCCCTTACCCCGACTGCATTCGAGGCAGAGGTTCTTTGGGAGATAGTGGATAAAGATGGCATCCCCGTGCTCGGTACTGATGGGTCTCAGACATTTGAGAAAGCAAAGTCTTGCCAGCCGTTGATTACACGTTGGTCACGTACCATTTCCACCTTATTCTTGAATACTCTGGTGGATGATCCCCGGCGCTTTGTGGCACGGTCGTATGTATGCCCACCGGTGGGTGTGGCCACACCGCTTATCTATCATGGTTCCTCCCGCTTGGTGTCCTTTTTTTTTGCCGAAGAAACATCCCCGCAGCCTTTGTTGATATGCTGATAATGATCCGTCCGAGTTCATTACCAGTATGGCATGAGGAAGGGTTGATAGTGCCGTTTATAGACCTGACAGTGTAGCATGTCAATTTGGGTTTGACCAATGTGCTCCGGGCCAGCACCTCCTTTGTTATCATTTTCAAGAGAGCTACGGGCGCTTCAGTCGTGGACTTGTACACACCATGCTTCCTATATCCCGCTCTTTGACGATGCCAGGCTTGAGCCGAGTAGGGGGTTTCACCCCCTCTTTCAGGCGATATTGGCGGAAGACTATTGATGCATTTATTGCATTTGTCCAAAGCAGACCGATCATATGCTTGCCTCCACTGATCTATAAGAAGGACTCTTCTCTTCGGCTGCTTGAGAGCCAAAAATCTGATCACATATACGAGAGTTTCTTTACCTCATCTGCTCCGACTGACCCTCTGGCTCGGGCGTTTGCTTCTAGTTTGGCAATTGCTTCTCCAGAGCCAGTCCCTTTGAATAAGGCCTCTGGTCCTCGAACGACCCGCCTTAAGAAGATGGCTTATAAGAGGCTTCTGATACCAATCCTTCCATCCTCACCTTTCCAAAAGGCACCATCAGGTACCTAAAATTTTTGATTTGAAGTTACTTTCCTTCTTGTGACTATACCTTCTTAAATGAACACTTTTTATTTGCCCTGTTGTGTAGGACCCTGCGGTTGTTGACGTTCTCAGTACCGTGGCTCCTGGCCATGCTGCCTCCCCTAGGTCGGCTCAGACTTGGACGACACCTCCCCTTGTCTGCAAGACTTGTGAAGATGCGCACCCCTCGTATAGCGGTTATAGATGATGATGATGATGATGAGGCTGAGTCCTCCGATCATTTTGTGACCTTATTCAACGTATGCGTCGTCATCGCCCTACCGTAGCTGAGGAGGAGCACTATCTTGGTGACAAGGTTATTGGGCTCACCGTTCTGATGTTAAGATTACTGGAGGGATTGATGCCACAGAAATTGATGCCGCAGGCCATGCTTCTAGAAGCAATGTAGAGATGAGGTGCGCCTCTGGGAATGGTGTGGAGGTGGATGTGCTAGAAATCTCTGAGACTCGCTCTGGCACTTATGGTGATTTCTCTCCTCCGGCCCTCCTTCCTTCTTCAGGGATGACTGCTACTGTTCAGGCTTCATCAGACATTGAGATCGATCAGGTGCTCCCTGTCCGGCCAAGTGACTTTGTTGATGCTAGGAGTCCTTCAGTTGCCCCGGCTTTGCATAGTGATTCTCCCTCTGGTAATCTTTCTTTTTGAAGTTTGTCATATACTTCTATTTGTGAGAAATCTTTACTCAAATGGCTTTACTGTTCCCTACCCCTAATAAGACTTCCTTATATTTTCTTCAGTGTTAGCTGCTACCGGGCCTTGCCTTCACCTGCCTCGAACTCTGCTCCAGTGTTAGTTGCTACCGAGGTCTTGTCTTCACCTGTCTCGGACTCTACTCCGACTCTCTTTGTGACTCCTTATGGTTTTCCTTCTCAAGGGGGGACACCTGCCTTTGAGACGACTGCTAGAGGTTTTTCATTGCCAGTGCTTTCAAATATTTTGGATTTGAATCTCAGTGATTTCTACTTTGATAGTGATGCTTTTGGTCTTTCCCTTATCGCTCCTCATTCTCAGGCTCGGACCTCTGCCGGGAGTTACCCCTCTAGGTGGTTCATCTAACCCGATAGACATTGGGGAGATTCCTGAGACTAGCAGCTTTCCGGCCCAATTCCTCCTTTGGCTTTGGCAAGTTTGTCATTTTCCATTATTGGGTAGCTCCTGAGTTTGCTTCAGGTCTGCAACTTATGCATCCGAGTTACCCGGAGACCTTCGCTTCATTTGCTTGCCAATGTCCACTCATTCCGACTGCTCTTCTCGAGTCTTTTGCCACTATCTTATACAGCTTGGACAAGCAACAGCTGCGTGACCTTAATGGAAAAGTGATTGAGATAGCGTATCAGGGGATCTCTGACATGGAGCATCACCAAATGGACTTATCATGGCTTCGGAAGCGCCTGGATATAGCTTCTAACGCCAGTTATCGAGTGGAACTTTTGTCTGTGCTTGCCTCTTATCGGACCTCTATAGATGAGACAAAGGCAACTCTTCGCGAACTTAAGTCAGGCTATGCTCGAGCCTTGGAGACTTTAGAGGCACACTCTGCTATTTGTCCCCCGGATGTAAGTGTGACGGGCAGCTTCTTCGAGGGTGTCTTTAGGAGAGATTGAGTTTTTTTTTTGGTATTACTTTCTTGCCCCTTTCGATAAAATGTTTTATCTAGGACAATGCAATGAAATGACAAAATCTTTGCTGTTTGGAATTTTCACATTGTTTTCTTATTCTACTTGATAAAATATTTAGTTCGAATGATACAATGGAAAGAACAATCATACGCACATGTTTATAAAAGCTGAAATATTCTCATTAATTCTTTAACTTTCTTGACAAAAGTATAATAGATTCACTGCAAGTGATGGGATAAAACATGCACCATAGAGAAAACCAGCTTCTTCATAACGTAAGGGAAATACAACTTTTACACAAAGTAAGAAAATGAAAATGAATTTCAACATAGATGAGTCTAACTATGGGTAGTAATGCTTGATAAACTTTGCATTGAGCGGGCCAGTTCGGAAGCCGTCTTTAACCCTTACAAGCTTGTAGTACCCGCTTGAGCTCGCCTGAACCACCTTGTAGGGCCTTTCCCATTTTGGAGAAAACTTGGGCAAAGGCTGTCCTCGCATGATTGGGTCTACAATCTTTCATACTAGATCACCTTCTTCAAACTTCCTTGGTACCACAGTCTGGTTATAGGCTCGGGTGATGGACTCATGATACCTTTCCATGACTTTTGCAGTTTTGTCATGCTTTTCCTCTAATGCTTCCAATCTGGTAGTTCGCGGCTCCAATACCATCCCCGAGGCGAGAGCCATCCGAGCAGATGGTGTTTCCAACTGTATAGGTAACACTGCCTCGGACCCATACACAAGGGAGTAAGGAGTTACTTGAGTCGGCTTTCTCTTTGAAGTGCGATACGCCCATGGGCTACTATCAACTGTTCGGATCAAGTCCCCCCAAATTCATCCATCATCTTGCTCAAAATCCTTATCAGTGTCTTGTTTGTGGCCTCCGCTTGCCCGTTCCCTTTTGGATAGTAGGGTGTGGATTTGTGATGCTTCACTTGGTAAGTCTCTAGGAGGCTCTTCACATATTTGTTTATGAGGGGAGTGCCATTATCCGAGAGGATGGTGTTTGGTACTCCAAACCGGCAAATGATATTCTCCTTGATGAAGTTCGCGACTGCAGGCCCCGTAGCGTTCTTTAGAGGAATTGCTTCGACCCACTTTGTGCTCAATTCTGTTGCTGCGAGAATCCACTTGTACCCCTTAGAAGGTGTGGAGATGAGCCCTATCAGATCAAAAGCCCAAGTATGGAACGGTCATGGCGTTCGGATGCTATGCAAGTCTACGGTGTGGAGCATGTATCAAATTTCCGTGTTTCTGACAAGTCTGGCACTTCTTCACATGATGGGATGCATCTGACTCCATGGTCGGCCAGTAATACCCAAGGTGTATAAGTTGCTCGAACAGCCGAGCCCCTCCTTGATGCTCAATTTTGTGGGCTCTTCCGAGAACTAGATCTGACTTCTCCTTGGAGAGACACCTCAGGGGAGTGCCCTCAATGCTTCTTCTGTAAAGCTTGTTCTGATCAAGAAAGTACCGCCT